GTGTTTCGTATATTTTCATGTTTCTAATTATCCTTTGTTTATGCTACTCTCAAAATGTCAGCAAGGCGTCGCAGGAAACGCATTGACACTGACGTACCTGTAAATCTACAACACCTTTATCTATTAAAGAATTACTTGGTTCTCGTGTGTATGCTGATTATAATTCTACTTTATTAAGATTAGTATATTATTTTTTTAAGAAAATAAATTAAGATTTTTTTTTCATCAACAAATAAAAAATTTTATCAATTAAAAAAAAAAAATTAAAGAAAATTTACCTTTATTTATATTTAAAAAAATCAAGATTCGTAAAGTTAATAGTAATTAATAATGAAAATGAAAAGGGATGTGTTTAAATAAATATTTATATGTTTATAGACACACAACAACACAAGAAAAAAATTAAAAAATATTTTTCGTAAATTAATGTTTTTTGTTTTTTTGTTTTTGTTGTTGTTGTTGTTGTAAAGAAAAAACACACCCTTTTTATTATTTTTTTAAGAAAAAACAAATTAGATCTTCGAATTGATGAGGTGATTAAAAAATTAGGTGTAACGCATTATACAGTAGCTAACAATAAAGTTGTTTAATTGCTGATAAGAAATTATTTACTTGTAACAATAATAACTAACGAGTAAATAGAAATTTCCCAATTAAATAACTGATTTATTTGACGTTTGAATTTTATTACCAAAAATGGCTTATCTATAAAATATATATCATGCATATAATAAAATATCACATATCACATCAAAATCATATGTAACAATAGTAAAGACATTTTCCCTCCCATTCTTGTTCACTTTCAATCAAAATTTAGTTTCAATCAGATTTGGTCTTGATCAAACAAATCAAAAAATCAACTAAAATGAGACAAGGAAACATCGGATATTGTCATCATTGTTCAAATGAAGTTTATTTTTTTGATTTACGGCAACGAATTGGTGAAAAATAAATTAGTAGTGTCAATCAATAGCTTAGTCAATAACAATATTCGTAAGCATTTAAAATGTGGAAAGAAAAATCACCCATCTAACATTAATTAGAGGATTATGGTGAACGGGTGATCCGATTTACATAACGGGAAAAATTATTGTACGTAACCTTTATGTGCATATGATTTTCAAATTTGGCAATTTCCCTTATCGTGAAATTTAATATGCATACAATGCGCATGTGTTTTGTTTGCTTACCAAACCATAATTTTCAAAATAAACACATTCTTCTTATCTTCAAAAATTGTCGTCAGTTATCATCCGTAAGTTTCCGATTATAAACCCTTCATCGAATTTATACAAAATATAAGGTGTATGTGCAATGAACGAATAAGGTCATTGAAAGAGGAATTTACAAGAGAAGGGATTTAACCAAAAATAACCACCATGGACAATATCATATATCAATTCTTCCCACAATTCCTAATCTAACCAAGTATCTACTAAATCCAACATATCGGAATTCCCCGATACATAAGATACACTGATGTGGTTGGTACATTGAATGATTATGTATGTTGTTGATTATTCTTTATTATTATATGGAATATCAATTATTTATATCAAGTTTTTCCGATTTCTTATTCTATAGGTTTTTCATTGTTTTTTTTTATTTGTTACACCAATGGCTTGATATAATCACATAAACATCACGTTACGTGTATAATATCGGTTTTTTTCGAAAAATTTTAAATGTTTAGGAAGGAAGTAACTGATAAGATAAAAAAAGATCAAGAAAAATGATATTTCTATTATAAAAAGCAGGAAAAACAGGAAATTAAAATTTATGCATGATTATCTCATAATTGCTATGGTTATTCTCGATAATCCGATAATCGTGCATTTTTCTCTTTCTTGTTATTCTATAAAAATCTATTTCTATATCTAAAAATAAAGATTTTCGTATTAAAGCGAAGTCTAGTTAATTATAGTAGTTATATAACTCAATCCAGGATAGGCAATTCTTGCAAGTCCAAAGATTTTATTTAGTTTATATTTTTACATTACCACGTTTTATTTATTGATTGTATTTATTGTTATCATTGCTATTTATATTTGTCATTATCATTTCCATATTTATTCATATATCCTCCTGTTTGCGTTTCAAAGGCCAGGATCAATTTTAATTGGTTAGAAAGATTAAGGATGTCAAATGTAAATACACAAACATACAGTTTAATTATGGTAAAGCTTCAAAGGTGAGAGAGCGTGAG